CCCCCCCCCCGACACACACTGGGGACCGAGTCTACAACCCAGGCGTTTGCCCTTGACCAGAATCGAACATAGGACCCTTCAGTCCGCAGGCTGAAGCTCTATCCATTGAGCCAAACCCACTAGGGCTGTGTCTGTCTCCTTTGCTCAACCCTGTCTGTGAGTATATTCTTGCTCATGGCTCTGTAGTACTTCACTAGATAAATATACCACTAGTTACTTAACTTTTAAATGATACTTTAAAATACATTTTTACTTGTTTCAGAGAGAAAGGGAGAGGGAGGGAGAAATAGGAACATTAGTGATGAGAGAGAACCACTGATGGGATGTCTCCTACACGCCCCCTACTGAGGATCGAGCCCACAACCTGGGCATGTGCCCTGACCGAGAACTGAACCATGACCTCCTCATTCACGTGTGGACACTCGACCACTGAGCCATACCGGCCCGGGCAGGACGGGCCCTTTCCAAATCAAATTAAATACTTAGAAGCATAACCTCATAGAATGTTAACATCCCATGAGAAGTGCTTCATTTTTACTTTGTTTCTCATCAGGGGAGATGCAGCTCTAGAAGGAGGAATGGTTGGGTCCCTACCCCCAGCATCTCTGGCTGATCCCAGGGCCTGAGACGCCGGACCCCACCTCATGATCCCTCAATTCATCCTGCAGCTGCTTGCCATCTAACTGTGAAATCTTATGCTCAGAGTGTCCCCATCTCAGGGAGCGCTCGAGGCCTGCACTCAGGAGATCCCCTGAAATTAAACAGGGCTGGAAAATAAATAAACCCCCATTAAGAAGGAATAGCACTGCCAAGAACGCAGACGGCAACTCTGTACCTTATTTATGGCTCCACCAGCCCTGAAGCAGAAAACTCAAGGGTGTCAATAAATAGATTGCAAGGCTGTGTTTACCCAGACAGGCATGTCTCCGCAGGACCAGCTGGGAGGGCACCTTTGTCTGTAGCAAGGGCTGGAGCTCCACCTAGCCGCCATGACCCCACAAACACGCAGCCTTTACTAGCCTCAAGCTAGTGGTGTCACGAGGTCAGCAGGTAATCCTGTCCTACTATCACCCATGCTCACCTCCCTCCCCCAGGTCAATCTGTCCTACTGTCCCCCATGCTCATTCCCTCCTCCTAGGTCAGTGGTCGGCAAACTTGTTAGTCAACAGAGCCAGATATCAACAGGACAATGATTGAAATTTCTTTTGAGAGCAACATTTTTTAAACTTAAGCTTCTTCTAACACCACTTCTTCAAAATAGACTTGCCCAGGCCGTGGTATTTTGTGGAAGAGCCACACTCAAGGGGCAAATAGCCGCATGTGGCTTGCAAGCAGCAGTTTGCCAACCACGGCTCTAGGTTATGCTGTCCAGCTGTCCCCCATGCTCACTCCCTCCCATGTACTGCCTCGTGTTTGCACACGCCTCATGGCATGCATTTCACTCCTCCCAGGGCAGCTCAGGCCTGCACGGGGCAGAATGAGCTTCATTATGACAAGCTGGACTTCGGCCTCTCTGCCATGCCCCTCCATGGATTCAGGGCCATCAGAGCCACCCTGACCTCTGCCAGGTGACCGCCTTTGGACTGTTTGCTGAATGCATACAGCTAATGCATACACCTGGAGCCTCCGCTTCTCCAGGGTAAGCAGCCTTAGTTCTTCCCACTGCGTGGACTGGAACCAGGCGTGGATCGGCACCATCATTCACCTGGATTCTCCTAAGGGTGTGGCCGAAGCTAGATGGTTCTGAAACTATGGCATCTGGAAACAAATGCTGCGACCCTGCTGTGGCCTGCTACCCGTGAAAAGAAAGCTGTCAGTTTTATTGTTCTAGCTGGAATATGTCTGTTCATGTACCCAATCACCCACCCCCAACTCAAAGCGGTTTCTGATTGGGTCCCAAGGGTAGAATGTCTTGTTAAGCTTCACAGTTGTAGGTATAGAACCTACCCCAGCCGGAGCGCATGGTGGCAGAGTATTCCCTCAATCCTCCCTGTTTCCTGTAACGTTCCTGCCAGTCTAATAAAAGCACTCAAAGTCCAGGATCACAGTCACCCCATCAGCCAGGATGGGAAAAACAGCGTGATGCCAGAGAGAGTCTCCAAGTGGACATCAATGCATCATGAAGCACAGCCAGGTAGGGACGCTCCAACACAGATCAACTTCTACTCTCCTCCGAGAAGACGTACCATTTACCTTTGGGGCCACCCCTCCCCTGATGTCATCTTGTTTCAGGGGAACTAACTCCTCTCCACCCTATGACCAGAAACAGGCACAGAGTTCGGGGCTGCCATCCCCAGCTTCCCCACTCAGTGACTGGTCTCTGGACAAGCAACTAGAGGCAATCAAATCAGAAGCAAGGCATGGAGAGTTGGGGAAGGGAGAACTCCTTTTTCTATAGGGTCTGGGGAGGATAAGTCATAAGCTAAAGCTTGTTTCACGTAGGAAAAACTACCCTGATAGAAAGCAGAACAGGAGGGAAAAGCAGAGCAAAGGGATGAAGAGAAACTGAGCTACACAGGTATCACTTGAGCCCCTGGATCCAACCCTACCTGAAGCCTGCTCTACCTTCGAACTTACAAGTTGTTAGCCTCCAAATTCCCCCTTTGCCCAAACCTTTTAGGGTTGAGTTTCTATCAATGAGTGCAAATAAAACTTCTTCAATTTCCCTCGCAGCACTCAGAAACAAAATGTGACACCCCGTCAAACACCTTGCCAAGGTCTGCTATCTCACTGAGTCCCTGACTATAACATAGTTTTATAGTTAAAAACTCCAGTTCTCCAGTCCAATAATCCAGGCCCTGTCCTGACTGGCTTTGGGGCCTTGGGCAGATCCCTAAAGTTTACCTGCCCCGCCTACTCATCCCCACCTATTACATAGGATTCTTGTGAAAAAAATCCTAATGCGTCAAGTCCTAACAACAACGCCTGGCAGGTAGAAATGCTCAAAAAACTAATAGCTTGCCCTAGCTGGTTTGGCTTAGTGGATAGAGTGTCAGCCTGCAGACTGAAGGGTCCTGGGTTTGATTCCGGTCAAGGGCACATGCCAGGGTTGTGGGCTGAATCCACAATAGGGGGCATGCAGGAAGCAGCCAATCAATGCTTCTCTCTCATCATTGATGTTTCTATCTCTTTCTCCTTCTCCCTTCCTCACTAAAATAAATAAAAATATATTTAAAAAAAAAAGAAAAACACCAAAAAAATTAATAGCTTATATTGTCATCCTCGTTATTGTTATAGTATTATAGAGGTCCGGTGCATGAAATTCGAGCACGGGGGGCATGTGTCCCTTAGCCCAGCCTGCACCCTCTCCAATTTGGGATCCCTCTAGGGCTATCCGACTCACAATCCAGGACTGCTGGCTCCAAACTGCTCACATGCCTGCCTTCCTGATTGCCCCTAACTGATTCTGCCTGCCAGCCTGATCACCCCCTAACCATTCCCCTGCCAGCCTGATTGATGCCTAACTGCTCCCCTGCCAGCCTGATTGCCCCTAACTGCCCTCCCTTCAGGCCTGGTCTCCCCAACTTCCTTCCTCTGCCGACCTGGTCACCCCTAACTGCCCTCCCCTGAAGGCTTGATAGCCCACAACTGCCCTCTCTTGTAGTTCTGGTCCCTCCCAACTGTCCTCCCCTACTGGCCATCTTGTGTCCACATGGGGGCAGCCATTTTGTGTGTTGGAGTAACAGTCAATTTGCATATTACTCTTTTATTAGATAGGATTATAACAGTCTAGTTATACTATGAAAGTCAATGTTTTAATGTATTAAACTGAGTCAGGCGCCAGCCCCTCATAGCCTTGTTTTATCAGGGCTCCTCCATCACCCCTAGAAAAACATTTCCTTACATCTCTCCTAGGCCTATCACCAGCTCACCTTCCTCCCTCCAATCCTTTTATGGAAAATTATCCATGCACACTGCCTTGGCGTCATTCCTGCTCTCCAGCCCCTTAGATGAAAGCTCCATCATCTGCAGGGGAGCTGGGGCAGGTGAGGGGCAAGGGTGTGGCTCGGGGCCCTTCCGGGCCATGCCCACACTCAGTTCCGCCTCCGTTATAATCAGTCTGCCTCCCTAGGGGCAAATCTCAGAAAGTGAAGTGCAACTCCTAATTAAAAGATAGCCTTGAGCTGTCAATAAAATTATGCATAAAGAACATGTTTAAAAACACAGCACTGACTTCCTGAGTCAGATTTTCCTTTGAGTTAATTTTTCCCTTTTAACTTGAGTGTGGGGGTAAACAGAAGAAAGCTGTGCTCGCCAACACGGCCACGCCTTCCCTCCCCACGCTTAGAAAACCACCTCTGATACACAGCGCACAGCGTCTGAAACTGCTGGCTGGGAGAATGGCAAGTCTTGTCTTTGCTGATGATTTCTGAAAAGGGGCAGGGATCAGCATTCGTGTTCATTTGTTTGGGGAGGGTCCAGCCTCTGTGGCGTTCCTGTAGTGGGCCATTGGATGACTGATCAGCCCATCCCCAAGCCTGGCCGACTGCTCCGACACTCACCTGTGCAGCCATCATGTGTATGTCCATCTGTCTGTCTCCCCAGCTGAGCTGTGAAGGCCCAGGTGTGCCATCACCGCACGTCTGGCACCTGGGTTAGCACAGATGTAAACCACAGCAGCAGCGACAGTAATAACACATGTTGAATATGTGAATGAAGAGATGGGAGAAAGAATAAAACATCTGGCTCCATAAATAGCTAAGTCCTCCCTCCAGGGCCCAGCCTTGCCTGTCATCAACACAGTGATCCACTCGCAAAGCCCATCTTTGATATCTGTGCCCCCTCCTCCACGCCACTGCGCCTGGGTGCACCTGATCTTGCCATTGTGTCTTTTTACCTCCATTGACCTAGGCAAGCCTTCCCCTGTGACGGGGCACCTGCATTCGCTTATACAACATGACCAGCTGGGATCAGACGGCTCAGAGGCTCTCCCTGGGACACTGGGACAGCCGCGTCCTTCTCCCCTGCTCCCGCTCACTCCATGAGCGCTGCCTTCTTACCTTCGAAGCTCCCGGCAAACAGGTAAAGCCAGGTGATGGCTGGGATGCAGAGAAGAGTCAACGAGGCAGCCAGGAATTTCCGTCTCCCCCTGCAGATTCCCAGCATCCTCTCGGAAGTGGCAATCCCTAATCCCAGAGCCGTGTCTCTGCCCGGAGCGTGGAGTCCTCGGCCTCCCTCATAATACTCCCTGTGGGGGAAGAGCAGAGGGGAAGGGCTGTTAATGGAGGCAGACTGCAGAGAGAACATGCTGGAGCTCCCGGGAGGAGGCTGACTCGGCTACGGCTTCCTGCTAACCCTCATTCCCAGGGGATGCTGCTGCACCCCTGCCATCCATCAAAGTGGAGACAGTTCTTTACCAAATAAACAAATAAAGCATCAGGGCGCTGGCTCTCTCCCTCTCCCTCTAATGTGCACACTTACACACACATGCATTTCTGCTACAGGTTACTTCTGAAGTCTGAACTACACACTCAATACAGGAGCATTTAATGAGCACCTTGTATATGCCAAGCACTAGCCAGGTGCTGTGTTTTGAAAAAGGAGAATGAGGGTTGGCGTCAAAGAACCCAATCTAACAGGAAAGGCCAGCATAGAACGTGCACAGACACCCTGAGAATGTGATGGCTGCATGGGCACCTCCAGGGAAGGATGAGGAAGTTGCTGACAGCTCCCGAGTGAGGCCAGGGGGGAGAAACAGTTCCCATGTTCCGGGCAGAGAGCCCGGTGGAGGGCACGCAGGGCTGACCACACACACACACACACACACACACACACTCACACACACACAGGAAAGGAGACTGGTGAGGTACGAGATCTCTATCACCGTGGGAAGCCTACGCGCTCTCATCTTTAACACGGAAGAGGAGCCCAGAAAAGCATGGATGACGATGCAGATGTGCAGAGAGTGGGGAGGAGCATGGAGATAACAGCCGTCTGCAGAGAGACAATCCCTGGACCTCGCAGAAGATGGGTGAAATGGGAAGAGCAGAGGAAGGAGAAGGCCTTCACAGACGGAGCTGAGGACACAACCTCTCGCCCGAGTCTATAACCAGAAACTCCTGTGACTTACAAGGAATTAAAAACCCAACAGACCATGAGTTCCCATCTCCATCACCTCCTAGCACAGTCACATGGGCTGCAGGTGGAGAGCGAGTGAGGCCACAGGGAAACTCCTGACAGAGCAGAGCCCATGGCTGCAGGCAGCTCTGACTTAAGGCTTCAGTTCCCAAGGAATGATGTCCCTTAGATACTCCCACACAGTCTTTCCCTCTGCCAGGACGCTCACACCCCATGTGACAATGTCTGGGTGAACCGTCTCCCTTCCCACCAGCCATGGTGTTTCCAGAAGACAGGCGGCCCATCGCACTCACCGGCATCCCTAAGACTTAGCGTCCTGCCGGTCACTTCCAGGTGCCCGGTAACGGTCTGCTGAGCTAATAAATGGAATCTGATTCTAACCAGAGGCGGCCCTCCCGAGCCTTTAGAGTTTGTGTTCAGCAAGCTGCGGGCAATAAACACCTCCCGGAGCCCATCCCCATGTCAGGGGCCAAGCTGTCTTCCTCAAGCCCTCTGCCACTTCTTTGAATGTTTGAAACAGATGAGAGGCCATGGGGCTGGCGTGTGAGCTCAAGAAAGGAAAGCCAATGGAAGCAAAATCCCGTTACACCGAGAATGCTGACTTCAGAAAAGAGTCCCCGGAGTGGAGACACACCCCCCCACAAACAAACCTCACTGGTCACTAAGCATGCGCAGCAGGAAATGCTGGTTATCTCAGGGGAGGGAGTGCTGGGGGCGGAAAGCACAGGGAATACGGCCACAGGACGACCTGGCCCCAGGTCAGCTTTGCTTCGTTCACCTGTACAGCGGAGGGACACCCTCAGTCTGGACCGGTGGGTATGAGGCTGAAATAAGAAAATCCCTTGGGCAACTAGCAAAGCCCCGTCAAGCACTTGGCAGGGTAACCACGTCTTCCTAAGAACCCAATAGCAGTCTTACTTATACTTTTCTCTCTTCCCATCCCATGGTCCTCCCCTGCTCCCCCACAGGGTTTGGTAGAAAACAGATCGCAGCAAGCAGGTCCTGACTGACAAGCCAAGTGATTTAACCTGAAAAACCTACCTACGAAATTCTCCTTCAGGAGTTACCACCCATTACAATCAAATGGAGGTTTGTTTTGTTTGTTTTTAAACAAGAATAAAGACGACGAGCAGTAGTAGCCTTTATGTGTATAAAGTATTTTCTAGGTTTTTTTTATTTGTTTAATTCTCAAAATAACTTATTTTTTAATCCCTATTTTATGAATAGGAAACTAAGGCCAAAAAGATTCATTAAGGAGCCAAAGGTTATACAGAGGGGGCGGGGGGAACCAGCTCTGAGAAACTGACCCTAAGAAATTGACCCCCGTAGGGGGCATCTTCCTTTGGATCTAACCTCAATCCTTTATATTGCATCTTATGAGCGTCTCCTTCCCCAGAGTCCAATATATCACCAGCATTTGCTCCTGTTCCAGGGGACAATAAAGTAGAATAGATAGAAATACAATCAGAAAGCAATAGGTGAATTTACACTTCAGGGGAAAGTAATGGTATATATTTAATACCAAAAACAGAACTCAAGTGGCACTGATATTTAAATAACATTTTCAAAGACTCCTTAAAACACTTCTTCCCTCCTTTTCCTCTCTCCGTCTGCACACGTTCGTTTCCACTCGCACAATTTATGTAAAGTTTTAAAACAGAATCAAGGTTGGCTCGCATTTTGTGATAACGCTGGCACCTGAAATTAAACTCAGCAGGTGAAAAAAATACTCCTTCATGGATTTGACTTCTAAATGACACTTCTGTGCTCTAAAGACACATTTTAAAGAGAAGCCTCCACATTTATCAGAAGTTTCTCCAGGAAGTCAATCAACACAAGAAGAAGAAAGGAAGGAAGAAACTGGAAGGTTGGGAATAGCATCCCACACGTGTGCAAATGACCTCGGATCACCGGTCTCTAACCTGCCTTATCTGGTGGGAGGGGGACTGCCCACCTGGTCGTGAATCCAGGGCCGTGGTCGGCAAACTGTGGCTCGCGAGCCACATGCGGCTCTTTGGCCCCTTGAGTGTGGCTCTTCCACAAAATACGATGGCCTGGGCAAGTCTATTTTGAAGAAGTGGCATTAGAAGAAGTTTAAGTTTAAAAAATGTGGGTCTCAAAAGAAATTTCTATCTGATATTTAGCTCTGATAACTAATAAGTTTGCCAACCACTGACCCAGGGGTTTCAAAGTCATTGTTAACCAAGCCCCCACCTCAAATCCAACACACAACCTCTTGACCAAGCTGGCCGATTTCTTCTCCTAAACATCTACTCCACCTGTCTCCTCCCATGTCTGAACCAACAAATGTCACGTTGATAGAGAATGCTGCATGAACCAGAAAAATAATCACGCCCTCTCTTAAAGCCACAAAAGGAGGATTCAAAGCTGAACACAAACTATGACTGCAAGCCCAGTGGGAGAAACTGTACATGCATGTACAGCATCTCCATAACCACAGATATGGAAAAGGTATGAGCACTGAGAGATCTCTCTATGGGTAGAATGAGAGTCATTTCCATCCTGTGATTATATTCTTTGCTAAATCTTATATGAGGCGTGTGCATGGCTTGTGTAATTTAAAAGATGTGTAAAAGCTTGAAACCATCACACCTTCCTGTTGCACTGTTTTGTGATTCGAAATGCCCCAGTGCAGATGTGTTGTACACGTGTGTGAGTTTTACTTGCCTGGCTAGGTGTGGTGAGTTAGCATCAGCAGGATCCTAATTGAAAATGCATACCCCGCAGGCGTGGCTGGTTGCCACTTGAAAGACTCCAATCAAAAGCTACACTCCAAACACAGCTCCACTCCTCCCCGCCCCACACCCAAGGCTGTCTTTTAATTAGCATCACGGATGTGCAGAAGGATTTTTCAAGAGTGTTCAAGATGTGTGGGTTGTCTAGGAACACTGCACATGAAAAGGGACTAAAAATCTACATAACGTTTCAAAAAAAAAAAAAAGAAAGAAAGAAAAAGTCTAAGAAAACCTTCAGAATCATTTAGGATCCCAAACAGATCCTACGGGCACCGAACAGATCTGGGCCATGGATTTTAACTAGATCAGCTGAAGCCTTCAGCCACCTATGGTCACATCCATCTCCCTCCACTGACCTGTTCTTGCAAGGTGCTCTCCCGGTTCCTAAGAGCGATGAGATTGGGCTCATAAAACAGGTCCTACAGCAGACGGACCCTCATGCTGGCTTTGCTGTACCATGACATGTGCCATTGCTAGTAGATGGCCAGTTCATGCCCTGACCCAAGGCATCCGCTCACACACATTCCTACAACGCCCTTTCTCCTCCGCTGGGACTGGGGAGGAATTTCGTGTCTCACGGCTTCAAGTCCAGACCCGAAGCTTCCTTCCCCTCCTGTCTGAACTCCCACAGTCACACGCTTAGCTGTGGTCTCACCATGTCCTGAGCATTCATCTCTCTTCGTGAGACTAAAATCCCCGAAGAACAGAGGATCAGGTGTTTAAATTCTCCACGAGCACAACATCGAAGACAAAGGTTTGTGCTCAACCATTGCCGTCCAGTGCGTAGTCCCAGACCCAGTGGCATCGGCAGCAGAAAAGTAAACTCCTAGGCCCGGTCCCGGCCCCACTCCATCACACTCTGCATCGGGACAAAATCCCAGGTGACTCGAGTGCACATGACTGTGTGAGAGGGCTGTCCAGTCATGTGCTGCATGAGGACATTTCAGTCAACCACGGAGCACACGCCCCTGGCATGTCATATAGCCTAGGTGTGTAACGGGCTATTACATGGTCTTTGTGCTGATCGCCTAAGAACACATTTCTCACTATCCCCATCCCTAAGTAGGCACATGACTGTACTAAAGCACCCAGTAAACAGCGGGTCAATACACAGAGTGCCCCTCACCCCTGCAGGGACTGCCCAGTGCCTCTGGAGAGTCACTCACCTCCAGGACTTCAGGATGGCATGTTTATTATAAACGGTTCTCTTAACAGATAGAAGCAGAGTTTCTGGAAGGAAAGGGGCCTTTTACACAAAAGCACCTTCTGGACTAGAGGTGGCTCTGATGACCGCCCACTCCTCCCAGGTTTGAATAATGACTGAACCACCCACAGAGACATCATTCTATCCCTC